GAATGAGGTGCATAAGAGCATTCAGTGCATCTGAAGTAAACTGTGTCTTAACAAACACCCCTATTTTACGTTTTGTAGCTTAAGATAAAGTACCTAACTTCATCCCTTCTATGTGCATCTAACAGTTGGACTGCTCCTCTGTAGCCGGTAATATGGGGCATAAAATTAAGCATATTTTTCGTCGGATTTACGAACACTATCCTGCATAGTAGTTAAGCAAAGGTCCATAAACAAGGTCCATCCACAGACCTATTTCATCTTACCTCGTGGATACAGAACACAAAATTTATGGTAACAAGTCTTTGAAAGTTACCTACTGTATTCAGATTAATCCCAATTCGTTATTAGCAGTTCGTCTGTTACACTTTCTACTTCTGAATGAATGTAAAATTAAGGTAGATAGATTATTTCTGTCTAACATCACTTTGATGAGATTATTCACTTAACTAAAGAGCATGACAATTAAATTAATGAAATGGCTAATAGAAAAAGTTAAAACTAAAGAAATTATAATCCATGCAAACCAACAAATTTATAGAATTTATACTGATTAATAAAGGGGAATACAGATGAAATGTATTACCAGCTTGCGTTTGTGGTTATCTGAGGACGTTATTTGCAATCGATATGCTATGACTTAAAAGATTTTTGTCCCTATTCTGGTGTTTCTCTAACTGAAGTATATCACACTGTGAAACAGTAATAACTACTGAATACAGTAACTATAGCTCAAAACATTATTATGACATTTCCCGGAATTAAAGTTTTGTTTGGAATAAAATTTAAATCTTGTTCCATCATGGACTGATATCAGTTAAAGAACCATTGAAAAGCAGCAGAGAGTACTGAACAGCTGTTTTGTCCGACAAGTATTGGGCCCTTTAGCAATACATGGAAAAGACCTCTCCTCCTCACGGGTTGGGTCCGAGACCTTCAGTGAGTTAGAAGAAGTTAGAATTTTTGGACTGCGGGATTCCCTGTCACTGGCTAAATGATCAGCAACCCTGCCTTCGTAACCTGAAGGTTCCGCTTTCGATCCTCAATTAAGCTTCGTGGGCGTAATGCTGGACAGTCTCAGACTATGATGAACCAGATGTCCAGTATTTATTTGTTTTTCAACTGACATAGTTTCTGAGTCTCGTCCTAGCTTAAGACTCTTCGCCGGTACGCACACACTAGGGTTGAAACTCATGACCTGCTGGTTGCGAGGCGAGTTCGCAGACCATTTAGCCACTTGCACCCGAACGGATAGTCCATAAATTCCGGCTTCTGCCAATTCGTGACATTTACTTAGCGCAGCCACCAGCCAGTGTCACAGGCGAGTAACTCTCCTCTTGCCTGACTTGACGATCCCTGATGGTTAAGATTTCTCACTAGGACCCGAGTTACTCCCTGCATAGGTCCAGTCTCTAGTGAACATCAGGTGTTGGTTTGCAGGGATTTGATTGGTTACAGGACTGAACACACTTGATATTATGGAAGTGAATGAACCCTTATCGATTTGGTTATTTTCCGATGACAAGGTCGCGATCTAATCAATAGAACAACTTTAAGTTAGAATCTTAAGCTATTCAATGACCATAGTCTACGGATCGACTGAATTAAAGCGGAAAGGGCTCATTTCTACTTCTATGATTACTTCTCACATCAAATTATTGTAACACACTAAATTTTCACAAAAGTATGCATTATTCTAAATTCATGATGCATAAAATCTAAAACGGAAGCTTGAAAAATGCTTGAATTTTTGGGCGTTATTGAAAGGCGAGAAGGAATGAAAGCGTTTTTTTTTGTGTAAACGCATAAATAACATTAGCCTACAATCATTATATCATTTAATACAGAATTGACTACTGAAAATTAATTGATTTCAGTCATCTATGGCCATTTTTTTAATGACACTGCTAAAATGGGCTTTTGTGTCAACTTATATGATAATGTAATAGAATGAGGGAAAAAAAAGAAAAAGCATAATATTTTCAGATTAGTGAAACAAAACTCTAAAAAAAGGACGAAGCATAAGAAAAAATTCAGTTTAAATGTGTGCATATTATTACTCCTTTGGGTTTCAAGTTGAACACAGGGATTCAACGGAGCATCTCCCTTTCATTCTGTTTTCTGCAGTCCTATTAAGCTGGCTCCACGACTTTCCATAGGCTTTCATCTCCTTCTCACACGATCTCCTCCATGTCATCCCCGAATACACGACTAACTCGTTGCTTTACATTCTGGTACCAGTTGAGCGATGGCCCGGTGAATTGTGTCATCCAGCGGTCTCCTGAGTTTGTTGGATCTATCACCATTTCCTTAGCAGTATTTGTTGAGAAATGGTTTCTTGATTGGTTGGGGCCCAGAGTTTCTAGATTGACAATTATCTCTGACCAGCCGGCCATCTTTTCTTCCGTGTGAAGCCAGTGAAGCTGGCAGCTGTTGATAAGAGTCTGCACATAGAGAAACTGAGTGACTTGAAATCCGTGTTAAAAATCTGAATTTTATTGTTCATAGCGAGTAAGTGGGGCAACCTTTCAAAGCGGTTTCAGGTTTTGTAATCCTGAATCGTTCCTACTGCCTGTAGTTGGAAGGATCTGCATAGAATGAAGTGAATTCCCTCAGAATCATTCCGCTGAAAGCGATTAGCGTTTGTTGGCTTTGTTTCTTAGTCATCTGCATCACCTCTGTATTCTCTCGGTGTTCACTCGAAGTTCTGCGCTCAGTGCTTGCTTCTTCTGATAAACTATCGGTTTCCTCCTGTAGATCTTCGAGTGTATGCGACGTTGGACATAAATCATCCACGAAGTCCATATATATACATTTTATTATTATTTTTTTATTTTTTTTTATTTTTTTTTATTACAACTTGATGCCACACTGTATTTTCAGTACAAGTATGGAATTTTCAGCATGGATATCGGTAGCCCAAATTTTGCAGGCCGACCATAGATATCGGGTGTGCGTCGGCAGGGGATCGAAAGCCGAACCATGTTCATGGTCGGCAAGAGTCCTAACCACTGTGCTACCGACGCACTATATATATGCAAAACGTAGCTGATATTGTTCAGTTCCGATTATTTCCTTTTAATCTTGCATGAAATCATATGGCATGCGTTCTAATCAGCCATATTCCTTGTTTCATTATACCAGTTTATAGATTATAAGGCGACCAGATTTAAACGTATCTTCTTCAGCTCAAAACGAGCTCTTTCTAAAACCAAGCTCCATATTTTTCACCTTTAACTTATTGTAACTATTGATTTCAAGTTCTTCTGATCAGGCAAAACAATCGGTGAAAATCACCGGTTTTCAGTTAAGAACAATTGATAATAACCATTGATAAACAAGCAGCCTTTATGACTTTATATTGATGAAATGGGCTGTCGAAATGTATTATCAGTCGAAAACAAGTGTCAAATCATTTGTTGCTGTCTAACTGAATTCCGGTAATGTTTTCAAGCTGGTTTGTCAATGTATATTACTCTTTGTTTCGGTATGCAAAAACAATCCTGATGAGTCATACCTCATCGAAATGCTGTAGTTAGCAAATGTCTAATTTATAAATGTGATTTTCACGGAAAACTAATTTAAATTTATGTATTTTGTTAAAGAACTGGCGCGGAATTATGCTCCTGTCCATCCCAAGCAAAATACTAAGCCGCATCATCCTGGAAAGGAACAAACAAGCCCTGGATGAAAAACTTCGACCGGAACAAGCTGGATTCAGGAGAAACAAGTCATGTATTGATCAGCTCGCCACACTACGGATCATCATTGAACAAAGTTTGGAATGGCAGTCACCTCTCTATCTCAATTTCATCGACTTTGAAAAGGCCTTCGACAGCGTCGATCGAGAGGTGATTTGGCAACTACTTCGCTACTACGGGGTGCCGCCGACAATTATACATCTCATCCAACAGTTGTATGACAACGCTGCATGCCAAGTAATCCAAAACGGGAAGCTCATGGAATCCTTCGAAGTGAAGACAGGAAAAAGACAGGGTTGCCTACTATCGCGAATGATTTTCCTGATTGCAGTAGATTGGATAATGCGACAGACAGCAGGCAATGAGGAAACAGGCATAAAATGGACTCACACAAAGAACTTGGAGGATCTGGACTTCACCGATGATATATGTCTGATTTCCAACAAACTGGAAGATATGCAAGCGAAAAGCAACAAGTTGGCAGAAGAAGAATCCACAGAAGATAGGACTTCAGGTGAACATAGAGAAAACAGAGGTGATAAAGATTCCTGGCCAACACCAACAGCCACAGCAACAACAACAGACAGCAATCAGCATAAATGGAAGGAACCTGAAAGAAACTACCTCCTTTACCTACTTGGGAAGCATTGTTTCAACTACAGGCGGAACTGACGAGGATATCAAAGCGAGGATCGGGAAAGCAAGGCAAGCTTTCATTACTCTCAAGTCTGTGTGGAGGTCAACAACATTCAGCGTCAAAAATAAGATCCGGATTTTCAACTCCAATGTGAAGCCAGTACTACTATATGGATCAGAGACTTGGCGTATCACAAAGAGCACCTCAAACAAGCTACAGACCTTCATTAACAGTTGTCTTTGCTCAATACTCAAGATCAGATGGCCGGCCAGGAAAGATCAGCAATAGAGATATCTGGGAGCCAACTAACCAGGAACCGATTGTGAAACAAATAGGCAGGAAGAAATGGAGATGGATTGGCCACACTCTGAGGAAACCAGTAAGTGACATCACTAGACAAGCCATTGCTCGAGTGGAACCCGAAAGGGAAGCGGTGAGTTGGTCGTCAGTGCAAGGGTGACCTGGAGGAGATCATGTGAAGAAGAATTGAAAGCGTATGGGCAGACTTGGAGCCAGGTGAAAACTCTAGCAGAGAACCGAACGCAATGGAGACGCATGGCTGAAGCTCTATGTTCCTCTAGGAACTAAAGGAAATAATAATAATAAAGTTTTGTCACATAATGGATTGGTCATTAAATGTACGTTAAGCATAATTCATAACTTACCATCTTCTGTTAAACTCTTAGTGGTACTTGTGACAGTATCAGCAGGACCTTGATTCGTCTTGGCACCGTTGGACTGATTGGGCTGATCAGAATCATTCTGTAAATAAGAAAAAATCAAATACGCTAGTTGTGAATGAATGTACATATATATATATATAATTCAAAAATACTCGGATAATAAGTCATTATATAGCTAATAACATACTTGTGTAGTTACTACTTATTATTATCACTGTTTCCTTTAATTCCTAGAGGAACATAGGGCTTCAGCCGCACGTCTCCATTGCGTTCGGTTCTCCGTCAACGTTTTCACCTGGCTCCACGTCTGCCCACACGCTTTCATCTCCTCTTCGCATGACCTACTCTATGTCACCCCACCCTCACAAAGACGACCAACTAGCCGCTTCCCATTCAAATTCCACTAGAGTGATGGCCTGGCGTGTAATGTCATTTGATGGATTGTTTTCTCAGAGTATGGCCAATCCACCAACTGCATTTCTTCCTGCTTATTTGTTGCACAATTGGTTTCTGCTGGGTTGGTTCGTTCATCGCCAGAGATCCCTGTTGCTGATCACCTTTTCTGGCCGGCCATCTGATCTTGAGCGAAGTATTGAGCGAAGACAGCTGTTGATGAAGGTCTGTAGTTTGTTTGAGGTGCTCTACTACTATGTATTTCATTTTCTGAAAGAACACCGTGACTGAGTTTCGATAGCATTATAGACCTTATTTTAATGTTTAATAATAATAATATGATTAGTAGCAATGAACTGCTTTATTCCAAAATAGCACCTATGAGTCATATAAAAGAAAAGGCGTTCAGCAAAGAGTCTCTCTTTTCGGCTATACCATTCTCATAATAACTTCGATACAGTATGGAATTATCAGCATTTTATACAATACTGCATCAACAACAAAAGCAGCAACAAAAGAGGGTATAGGTAAAACAAAATTGATAATAACAACGTTTTGACATTAATAGCAGCAATAAAGACAAAAACATACAAAAGGTATGAAGTAATAATACTAATAACTTCAATTATAATATAATTGAAATAGGGTAACCATAAGTGACAAATAGGAGAAGATGAAAGGGACATTTATTTTGCATATTACACAGTAAGTTATTATAAGTTTGACGCTTAACACTTTCTCCACCACATAGAATGCAGACCAAATAGGTCATGGTTGTTTTTTTGTACTTGGTTGTGAGAGTATATAATTTTGTTCAGTGCCTTCTTGTGAATAAAGGGGTTGATGAGAGTTAGACAATATGGCTTTCGATCAATCCTCGCATTATTTTAGTTGTCTAGCCACTAAAGTGGTACCGAAGTGACTTAGTATCACACCACCTAACTTACTGATACATTTTAATAACCTTCGAAATGTCTTCAAGTCTTTTTTTGAGTAGCTCATGATAGAATAATCGGGAGCAATAAAAAACAATAAGTAATATGGAAAGATTAACAAATTGTATTAGTATAATTTGATTGATACCTAATTGCATGGAGGATTTCATCATGAGCTGACATCAGTTAGAGAACCATTGGAAAACCTGCCAGGAGTACTGGACAGCTGTTTCGCCAGCCTAGTTTGGGACTCCTCATCAGTTCGCCCACAATAGAGTTCGAACCCAGGACCTTCTGGTTACAAGGCGAGCATGTAGACCATTGAGCCACTGGGACCCGATCCAATGGTCCTTGAATTCTAACTTCTGCCAATTCACGACATAGCGTGACCATTTCGAAATGTCTTCTTAGATGAGTTACTGCCTCATCTTCAACTTGCTGTACTCTACTGGTCACGGCTTCCCACTAGAACCCCAGGTTAAGTGCCTGAATAGGACCAGTCACTAGTGAGCATCAGATTAATTTTCAAGTATTGGTTTGGTAGGGATTTTGTTTAATTGCATGGAGGATTTCATCATGAGCTGACATCAGTTAGAGAACCATTGGAAAACCTGGGAGTACTGGACAGCTGTTTCGTCCTAGTTTGGGACTCTTCATCAGTGTTTAATAAATCAATAAACCCTTATCCGTCTACGGCTAAAGTAGAAATAGAGAGAATACATACTTCCTTTATAAAAAAGGTCTGGTTTGAATTCATTATTGGCTAGGGCATCTGCTCTGTTTAGAATGAAGAAAAAACGACAAGTTAGTAGGAATTCGGTAGATGGCCTTAAAATCATGGTCAGGGTTGGTAGAGTGACAGACATGTTCTCATATCCATGTCAAATGTATTCCTTGGTTACAGCCGACGTATTTCGCTCCACAGGTTAAGTTGGATGCACATGAAGGAGGACAAACAACTCAGTTCATCCCTCATACAAAGAGAGAAAAATGTCTAGCTGAGAAAAGGTCAATTGAAGTTTCTCTGTAAAGAACGCCTTAATGACTTTTACAGAAAGAAGCTTTTCCAGTATGTAGGAAGCCTGAGAACCTTTGAATTCCAAACGATTGAATATGGTTTGCATTTGATCCGAGTTAGCGACCATTTCAAACTTTCAGCCTTCCGTGTTTTTGAATAAACCGGTTTGGTTAACTGTTTCCAGAGGACATGGTTTTTAGCAAAGAAAGTTCCGTGTCATCGCAATCAGAACTACAATGAACTACATTTCTTTTCCTGGAAATAAGCCCTTAACAATAGACATTAGTTAGTTGCCAATCCCTTGTACGCTGACGGTGGATGAATCTTTTAAGAGATCCGTCTAGATAAAAATACGTCAAGGAAAGGATAGCTTAAATCAGATCCCTTGGTTTATTATAAGAATGCTTTGCAGTCGTTATATGATGGCAAAATATCATCAAGCTTGATGTCCTTATCGCAGATAACGAAGGCGTCATCCTAGCTTCTGTGGATTTCATTGAGATCAGAATTTTGACCGAACTTGAGTGTTTTGGAGCTGTAATATAAAACAGTCAGCTAGCAGTGGACACATTGTGAAATCCGTGGGCCATGGATCCTATTGTTAGTAAATCTCAACAAGAGCTCTTTGAGGTAGGATACTGGCAACCGTATGCCTAAACTATGTGAATCAATATAATCGCATGACCAACAGACAGTTTCTGTGAGGTGAACATTAATGAATAACGAAGTCACATCTGGTGAGAACATGACTTTGTCTGAGACATTAAAATCTTTAATATCCTCAATAAGCTGAAACGTATCACTAATGCGATACTTACACACTTGCCTTTAATTGGCATCAGCATTTCAACTAGCCACCTAGTAAAACCATGATAAGGAGAACACCCATACATTCTCTGGACCGTTCTGTGTATGATATTATTTGTTTTACCGGCTGATATTTAACGACGATTATAGTCACACCACTGTTTGAGCTTCCTCACGTGATATAATTTCTTAGAACGCATATATATGCGATTATATGGTTTGATGAGAAATTCGTTTTTATGAGTTGATCACGGATTGATATCAGTTAGGGAACCATTGAAAATCAGTATCAAAGTACTGAAAAGCTGTTACATTCCAGTTTGGGAATCGTCGACAGTACGCACCCTCACCTAGGTTTGAATCCAGGACGTTCCGGTTACAAGGCAAGCTGGCTCTTATACCATTCAGCTACTGCAACCCGATTCAATAGCTAGCCCATGAATTCTAACTTCTACCATTTCGTGATTTAGCGCGACAGCACCAACCAATGTCATCGGGGAGAAATCCATCCTCACATTTGACTGGTTGGACCTCACTGGTCACGACTTCTCACTAGAACTCCAGGGTGGATTTCCCACCGATGACATTGGTTGGTGCCAGTCGCGCTAATTCACGAATTGGTAGAAGTTAGAATTGATGAGTTGGCCATTGAGTTGGGTCTCAGTGACTGAATGGCAAACAAGCTTCCCTGGTAACCAGAAGATCCCGGGTTCGAACCCTGGCAGTGGATGCGTACTGCCAATAACTCCCAAACTAGGATGAAACAGCTTTCCAATATTCCGATACTGGTTTTCAATGGTTCTCTAATTGATATCAACCCGTGATCAACTCGTAAAAACAAATCTAATCCTTACAAACCAACTAGGGAAGATAAATTCGTTGGCAGAAGTCTGTTCGTTGAATGCTGTGTTCTTAAGGTTACAAGTGAATCTAATAAATCTAACATAAGAAAACATACCACTAAGACTGCTTATTCTGCAGTACATTAATGAATGTTACTTCATATAAATATTTTCTGTCTAGTTGTCTTTAAAATTAAGTCAGTAGAGAGTGACTTCTACATGACAAGATTTGTTTTTTTTGAGTGGACACTAGATAGTAACTAGTGCCATGTGTCTGTTTCTTTGCTTGGTGCTTGGTGCAGACTGAATTCTTATAGTCAATTTCGTAATGTAGCTACCAGGTCAGGTGGCTATCCATCACGGTGGACTCTGAAGTGTTGTTAATAGGTAGTTCGAGGGAAACGGAAGGAAGGTAAGCCTCACCTAGATTTCATGCTTGTTGGCACTCACCAGTCATGAAGTAGTTGATGCAATTCTAAAGGGACTCATGTCACTCCTGAGATTCGAACCCTCGTGATTTGTCTGATAGGATTCACTCTGCACACATGAAATAGTTACTTATTACATAGTGTCCAATCAAAATATGCAATAATATCGTACAGAAAGTCAGTCAAGAATGCGGATAGCTCTCAAACTACAGAACTAATTGAATATCAAGAGGAAAGTGAGTTTCTTGAAGACTGTGGATACGCCTTGGCGACTGATGTGCGCCAACAAGTAAAAACCTTAGGTCAAGCTGGGCTTCCTTCCGATAGTCTTCAACCATTTAAAGACAACAATATTAATGCCCTATACTGCGACTATAATGCACTTCCCGTATCTCTTAATTATTTTCCATAAGGTCAACTAATCACTGATTAATATGGAATATTTCCTTATTTATTGCATACCAGGAAGAAAATTAAAGTCAATGACCTCATTTGATTATTATATTGGTTGCATGTTAGTCACAGTAATAAAATAACTTATTTACAACTTTTTAAAAACAAAACCAGTTCTTATTTCAATGTCATTAATGTTACCCTTGGGTATAAAACAATTTATGTTTTCATTTGCCTCATAAATCTCCAATAAAATAATAATT